CCTTTCCTTTTCTCTCTCCTTCAATCTCCTTCTCCATCACTGCGCCGCAAGCAACACCATCGATGGCTAGGGTTTTCTGAAACAATATTCATTCAATTTATGCAATTTATCTCCTTTTACATTCAGTTTTTGTGAAATTTCACAATTATTCTGATTTTCCTTTTCATGTTCTGTAACTTGATGTTTAAATTTCAATTTTTGCCGATTTATTGATTATTTGTGTGCTACTTTGTAGAGGATTGCGATTAAATGGTGAGCTACTACTTGATACGAATCATCGAGGCTCAATTGAAATGAGGTACTCCTTGATGTTTAATTCTTGTTTCTATTTAATTTTTAAGATTTTATATTGAAGTGTGCGAATTTAACTTCGATTCAAATTATAAGTACTTAAATTATAAATTTTCTTTGATTCTTCTTAAAATTCAATTTCTAGGGTTTATGTGATTGATTCTTTGTCAGTACGCATTATTGAATTGTATGCTATGCAAGTGACTGAATGATAAATGTTTGAATGCTTTGTTGTGCGGATTTGGTGCCTTATTTTGTTTGTAATGGTTTTGTGAGTATAGTAGTATCCAATGTGATTTTGTTAATAATTTTGGATGTAAATTCATATGATTATGGGGGCTGCAACGCACTTGCTTGTGAATTGGAGCTGCTGAGATGCGTGGTGTGATTGTGCGTTGGTGTGGAGGCTGCCCATGTATTTGAATTATGGGTACCCGAAGTATTTGAGTTGTGAGTATATAGAGTATTTGATACTTGAAATTTCATTAGTTTGATTTGTGGATGTATTGTGAATATTGTATTGGTTGTCATTTAATTTGATTTTTTGGGTAAATATTTGTTTGGCTATATTTTGATTGATTTCTTGATTGTGGTATGGGTATATTTTGATCAGTTTTGGGTTTCTTTAGATTGAATATGCAATTTAAATCTCATTTGGTAGTGGATGGTGGATTACTTCATTATATTTTGTTTCTAGTTTATCTTCTTATATTGCCTTATTGTGCCACAATTGTTGAGTTTCTTGCTAGTATAGCTCGAATTTAAATTTTGGGTTTTGGATTGATTTTCTGAGCTGTGTTTTTGCGTTTATCGAATGACTTGAACCTGCTGCCCTGCTTTCCTGTTGCTACCAATAGTGAACCCCTGCTGCTGCTACTTTTGCTCTGCTGGAGCTGCTGCTTTTGCTCTGCCGAGATTGGGGGCAGGTGTGGCTTTAAGCCTATGTTTTTATATTAATTTATACTTGTTGCCTGCAGCTGTGGCTTCAATATCTTCTGGAAATGATTACTTTGTTGGGAGTATTCTTGCTGAAGCCATCGACAAGATTAGGGCCGATGGTTTATTCTTTTGAATTGGGTTTGTGTTATTTTTGTTGTTGATTTATTTATTGTTGTGAAAAAGATTGATTAGTAATGTGGGATTTTTTTGTAAAATTCGATGATTAGTATTGTGAGTATTTTTTATTTAGCAAATGAAATAGGTTGCTTTGTGAAATTTAGAAGGGGTGAGATTTATGAAGTATTTGATGAATGGTATTGAACTGTTGATTTAAAAATTACAAGGTGTGCTTTGGGTGGTTGTTTTGAAGTAATTTGGTCTGGGTATGCTTTTTATTTCCTGTTTCACACTTGATTGGTGTTCTTTTGTTTGTTTATTACTAATTTTGTCATTGCTCTGTAAACTGGAAAGACAGTTGATCATATCTTTGATCAAAAGTTTAAGGTCTTGATGTAGTACTTGTGATTTGGCTAATAACTTTTATTCATTTTGCTTTGGGTATGTAATTCATTAGGGTTGTTGAACTTAGTGCTGGGGTTGCATTTTTATTGGTTGCATTTATCTGGCAAGAGTACTTGTTGCTTTAGAGGTATTTCAGTTTTGAGGTTATGATTGAAATATTATTATACAAACTTGTTGATTTAGGCTCAAAGTAAATTAATGGTTTACATCGAAAGAATCAGAAATTAAGTTTTGATAATTTATTTAGTTGTCATTTATAGTATATATGGGGAACCTTATTGTAATTTGGAGGGCTTTGATGCTTTGTTAATAATAAAGGCATGTACATTCAACCATTCTAAATTTTGGGCATCTTTCATTATTACTATACCTTGCATTCTGAGCTTAAATTATGGGTTTTGGATTTGATTTTCTGAGTCGTGTTTTTGCCTTTATTGAATGACTTGAACCTTCTGCCTAGCTTCTCTGCTGCTACCTAAAGTGCACCCCTGATGCTACTACTTTTGCTGTGCTAGAGCTGCTACTTTTGCTCTGCTAAAGCTGCTACTTTTGCTCTACTAGAGCTATTGCTGCTACTTTTGCTCTGCTAGAGCTGCTGCTGGTACTTTTGCTATGCTAGAGTTCATCCATAATAATGCAGCCTTTTTCTTTAGAGTCATTATCTCTAGTTTGAGCTGTTTTCAGCTTCTTGTTCAAATCGTTAAGTTGTCACAAAAGAAGGAATGGAGGGTGATAATGGAGGATGGAAGGAATGGAGGGTGACAATGTTGTTCTGCTACTATGCAATTCTTTGCTGCTGCTTTTGTGCTGTTGTGCTGCTGCTGTTGCTCTTTGTGTGTAAGTGGATTTGGTGAAGTCTAAGGGTAATTTAGATGAAACTTTCCCATATACAGAATTTTATTTTATTTTATTTTATTTGTGTGTAACCTTGTATTTTATTTTATTGGACGAAAATTGTAATATTACAGCCTTATTTAATGAAAATATGTAACTTTATATATATGTTAGTGTTTATATATCAATTTAAGTGAAAAAAATGCAATTTTATTTTATATTTTATTTTTTTGGGGCATTAAGCGCACCGATTTTAAACCGAACCGGTGCGAATAATCTCACTTATTCGCATTCCTCAAATCTAAACCGGTTCAAAACCGGTGCAAAAAGCTAGTTTTGAACCGGACCAACCGGTGCACATTTCCCTTTTTCTACTAGTGTACCTAACTACCATATCAAATGGACTTTTAATACAAGGGTCCACAGATCATTGGTAATTATTGATTATAATTATTGCAAGTGTAACCCAGAAGTTAATATTCTTGTTTTGTTGGCCGAGTTGACGGAGCAATTTGTTGCACATGTTTTATACTTATACCACCAAGTATATAAGATTATACTCCTGTACAATATCACAAATTCACAATGAGCACCGACATCAAAACTCACACGAGTCGACATTGATTCCTTTATATTCATTGAAATTTTTTGAAGTAACTCTTCTATGACATTCTGTACTCTTGGAAGATTGTAATTTATGGGGGAGATAACGTATTCTAGTCTCATTCCGTCAATACGAACTCATTCTGAGGTATCACAATCTGAAGATGGATAATATTTAGGAATTGTAGAGTCATTAATTGGACAGTTGGAAGTTAAATTACATTTGAAATTTTAGTTTAAAATTTTCGTAAATCATATTTTAACTATAGATCAAAATGTAAAGGGACCACAAAAATAAAGGCGTCAAATATATTCCTTTCAGCTAATCGATGTATAGATTCTATTGTACATCAAGTGTACATCTATTAGCTCCCCTAGTGGCTTCCTTTGGAGCTAAAAATTGTCATAGTTAGCTTACATTCTCATTGTAAATTCTCAAGAGTGTAGTCAATAAATACATGTGAAACAACGAAGCAACTTTTATACTGGGTTTATTATGTTGGTTAGATGGTCACGTAATAAGATAAAAAAAAGTGTAGTAAGAATTAACTTTTCTGCTCATTGAGTTGTCACTCACACAAACAATAAGGAGGAGAATTTTTAAAAATCATTCAAAATACTTAAATACATATGACATTTGTAAAAAGGAAGGAGAAATGAATAAAGATTATAGGAATTTCAATGAATATATATTTATACGTACTTCATATTATAGTGATTATACTAGTTTGGAATTCAATTCTATTCTTAAACATCCCAAGCATTTCTCTTCTACCAAGTACCAACAAAGGCAGGGTTGCTATCTTTATTTAGCATGCATGCTTCTCCATTGTATGAAGAGCTTTTTTGAAGAATTGAAAAGGTTTTCAAATGTTTCTAATCAATGTCTTCAATGATAAAGAATAATTGTCAAACTAAAATGACAAAGGTTCGAATTTGGTTCTTTTTAGTTTAGTGGATATATAGAATTAGAGAGAGTTGAGTAAGATCGTAAAACAAATGATATTGAACCACTAGTTAATACGGAGTAATTGTTTAATTTCCCTGTTTTAAAATAATTACACTATATTGACTTTTGATACTATTTATTTACATTACTTTGACCATATTGTATAATTTACTAGTATATATTACAAGTAATACAAATATAGAATTGCTTTGTATTTTTTATTTTTAATGGAGCAAATTCAGTTAGTCAAAATGACAAAAAACAAGGTCAAACTTTCAATCTCATATACTACGTATAAGATTTGAAATAATTCAAACTTATTTTGTACCACTAACAAGATTGTTATTACCATCCTACATTCCTACTACCAATTATTCTTCAAATACTTGTGCAATCGATTTTTATTCCTATTCCACTCAAAGTCAAACTCTATCTATCTTCAAAATCCAAACATACTAAACATTTAGCTATTTAGAATTGTACTCCTTTGTATTATCACTTTTTGACACAAACTTTTGTTTATTCCTATTTTACTTTAAATCGAAATATAATAATTACTTTAATATCGCATTACTTGTCTTTTAAGCAACTTTCACAAATATTGCATCACTTTTATTTTAGGACAAAAAATATCTATGTTCACACTACAAATACCCAACATACCCTTACTTCTTCACACCTATTTTTTATTTTATCTTTACATTACATGGACAATTTTGTAATTTTACGTTCTTTTCTCTTACTTTTTTCAACTACCAAATTTTATCTCCAAAACCCCTATAATGCAATAAAAAAAGAACGAAAGAAGTATATAAAAATTCAAAAGTCCTTGATGTACTAATATTTCAAACTCTATCTTCAATTGTTCATCACTACACATCTTAATTATTTGTGACAAGAAAAGAAAACGATGTAAAATTCAGTTTAGTTCATAGCACGTCTCACTCTTCAATACTCACGTCGGTACCCTTCACTATCCAAATCCTAATCAAGGTCAAAACTCACAATCCCCTTTCTCCTTTCTTCAGTCTTCCTTTCATTTTTTGCCCATGAATTTCAGAAAACTTAAAATAAAGTTTCAATTTTTATCTACTGTAAACATTCCCTAATATTCCATTATTCTGCTGCCTTTATTCTGAATATTTCCTTAAATTAATTTTCTTCTTTTCTCTTTCCATTTTAATCCCAGTAAGTCCAATTTGAGCTGAAAAGGGGATGAGAGAGAAAATTTGACGAACTACCCATTTCTCAAAATGTCCCAAATTCTTTGGATCTAACCCTTAATTTGAAGGCCTACCCCACATTGTATCTCAAAAACCCCATTTCAATTTTTGAGTTTTGGGTGAAAAGTTGGCTAAAAATGAGGGTGTTGAGTGAATCCTGGTGTTTTTGCAATGGTGGGGGTAAGTCTGAAAGACTTAAAGCTGCCATTTTTACTACTAAAAGCTCAGCAATGGCGAAACTTTCAGCTTCCTCCGCTTCTTCCGCCTCTGGAAGCTCCGTCGGTGGCGGCGGAGAAGCTTCTGGAACTGGGTTTTTGATTCACCGGAACCTTCTTCTGACAACACATGCCAACATTCCTTCTGTTAATGCTGCTGAGTCTGCTGAGATCCGGCTTCAAAATGGTGTTCCTGCCACTCTTGTGCCTCACAGGTGAAACTTCTTATCATTTTTTTGTTTGATTTTTTTGGGAAATTGATGTGGAGTTTTCTGGGGTTTGTTGTTTGAATGCAATTTAGTAGTGTCAGTAATTTTTTTGTTCTTAATTGGGTTGTACATTTACCAGATTTGAGGATTATATTCACTATTTAGTTCATTAGAGTGTTAATTGAGAAGAAATGATTTGATGATAACTGTTGATTGGAATTTGATGAATTTATCAGTTAAAATGTGAAAGTTGTAGGTAAATGTAAAAAAAAATGCAGATAGTTTGGTGTGGTAATTGATTTGCAAATTTGTAGACCCCATCCTTTTTTTTAACCTTATCAAAGTTTGTGAGTTACTATAGACTTTTTTTTAGATAATAATTTGTATAATTGATTGCTTTTGTTCAAGTTTGAATATGAATTAAAAATTCAAAAAAGAATCTTGTGCTTTGTGATTTGAAATTTAGAGTTTCAGGATGATGTAACTGATGGAGATCACATTTTGTGAAGCAATGATTTACAGTAGTAGAGCTTGTGCTTTAATTTGAAAACTTGTCAATTGTGATTATTACGAATTACATTTTCGTTACCCTTTACGTCTATTAAGTATGATATTGTGTTAGGAGCATTCGAATATCGGATGTGTACGATAACTATGGTAATCATGTGGTAAACTATGATGTCAAATCAAGAAAGGGAAAATATTCTATTACTTTGGGCCCATCTGTTGTATATAGAATAATCTGACATACTTTTCAGATCCTAAGAATCCTTGCTGGTCATAAGTCATGACAGGTTGTACATTGTGAGTAGGTAAGTGCTAGAGCATGTGATAAACTGTGATGGCAATGTTTGACATGTAAGTGGCTGGATTTAGTTGGTAAACCAGGTGTATAATAGACGGATTGAGAATTCCAGTCCAATGAGCAGATAGCAGGTTTGCATTAGACCAGCTCAGTAGAAAGGAGAGGTTAAAGGAGAATCTTAGTTGTATTGACTGTTTAGAATTCAATTTTTAGTATGATAATTGGCTGTTGAAAATGAAGATTGATTATGGAATTTATTGTTTTTGAAGACATAAAAAGCATGATGGAAAGGTTAAAAATGACCTTATGACGATTCTGTTATATAAGGAGATGGTCTGGGATTGATGTGTTTGTGGAGCTATTTATGATGTAATTATGATCTTTGCTGAGGTTGATATAGAATAACTCGGGTTGATAAAGCTATGGAGGAACTCAAGAAGCTTTCCTAGTTTCCTGGCATGGAAAATTAAAAGATATGTTGGAGATTCAGCTAGTCTTGGAAGTTTTTGATTTAGCATATCTAATATAATTGGATATATAAGAATGCACATGGCCACAATGTAGGTGAAATTATGGCTTGTTCTGCTAATCTTGGAGTGATACTTGGAATGCAATCGGTTCTATAAATCCTATTTATTGATGTTTTTCCTGATGGTAGAGGTTCCGAGCAATGTTATTGTAAAGCTTATTAGGTGTATGCATTTTTGGGATTAAGGCTTCGTTGTTTTTGAATGTAGACTTGTTAGTATCATTCCTTTACGTCGATTGAGTTGCAAACAATTGATGGAGTGTGCCTTTTCAGTATATAAGCAGACCTTATAATCATCCTGGTTAAAGGTTTTGGGGAGAGAATTTCAAGACTTTGTGGTTATATAGGCTTGATTCCTGTTCAGGTATTTCTTACCTGGGCTGTATGTTTTTAACGAGATAGAGAGATGGGAATAGCAAATGGGATCCCAGAATGACAATTCCCATGTTTGGTTGGTGGGATTTGGTTAAAAAGAAACACACACACACACACACACACACACACACAGGGATGAGATTAAGATGTCTTATTATCTTTTGATTGCGACGGGGTTATTAGAGTAGGAAATCTAACTAAATATTAATTGACCAATCTGCCATATCTGAAGGAGGGAAAATATTTAATTAGGCTGTTTAGTAATCTCATTATACATTCACAATATTTTTCATAACAAACCATATAGAATGACGAAAATCTCTTTGTAAATTTCTTAATATCACTCCCATATCTATTTCCGTCATTACTCTTTAACCTCCAAACTACTTGTGCTAATTAACAAGTAACCAAACACCCATATATGGGTTTAGGGACATTACATGGTATGTTAACTTGTTTGAATTGAAATCTACTCCCTCATATTAACATGTCCCATCACCTCAATTTGATGTTTTGCATGATTTAACCAAACTTTATTTCATAGATCATAATACACTACTTATTTAGGATACTGGAAAATAAAAGATATACACTAGACTGAGAATAAAATCCAGGTTCAAGTTATGGTTTTTTGGCTATTTCTTTTTCAAATAACCTAGTGTATTCATCTGTATTCTAAAGCATGATTGTTGCTCTCTTGGAAGAAAATCAAAGTTACTTTCTTAGAAGGATTTTGATTTATGAATTGTTGGAAGCCGCTTCTGAATAAATGGAAAAGAAAATTTAATAGATTATCCATTTATTGGATTTTAAAAGAGTATGATTAGATTTAAGGACTTACGTGACGAGGAGAGATATATGAAACAGTGAAATGTAGGCTATTTTTTTTAAAGCTTCGAAGCACATTGGTATTGAAAATTGCTGGAGAGACTAGTTGACTGTTAGTTTTTAGGTAAGTGAGTACGATGTATTAGGAATTAAAATTATAAATGTAATGTAAAATATGTTGAAGATTTCCTAATTATCTTATCCGTGGTGATTTCCTTATTAGTTCATCTGCTCCGTTGGTTGATGATTCAAACTATGAGTCTATGACTAGAAGATACTGTCATCTATTCTATTAACTTTCGTCTGCTCCGTTGGTTGACGATTCAGACTATGAGTCTATGACTAGAAGATACTGTCATCTATTCTATTAACTGATCCTTTATTTTTCTAACTCCAAAACTGCTCTCAGGTTTTTCATCACCAGTTCTGTGCTTGATCTTACTATCGTGGGCTTAGATACCATTGAAGGAGATTCAGTTGCACATGGTCAGCAACCTCACTTTAAAGTTTGTTCTAAACCAAACCTTGAATTAGGCAACATTGTATATCTTCTTGGGCACGCAGAGAAAAAAGAACTGTCCGTGGGAGAAGGGAAAGTGGTTATAGCTACAGATAATCTCATAAAACTATCCACTGAAGGCTTTACTTGGAGCCCTGGATCTGCTGGTTTTGATTCGCAAGGCAACCTTGCATTCATGATCTGTGATCCAATGAAGCTAGCCACCTCACCAAATACCAAATCTTCTTCAACTTCATCATCCTCTTCAGCATCTTGGAAGAAGGATCTTCCTATGCAATTTGGCATCCCGATGCCTATCATCTATGACTGGCTAAATCAGCACTGGGAAGGCAGCCTTGATGACCTAAGCAAACCAAAATTGCCACTGATGAGGCTGATGTCAGCAGGCCATAGGAGTGAGCATTCTTGTGCTTCTTTTACTATGAGGCAAGTTTTCAAGGCAACTGAAGAAATTGAGGGAACCACATCATCATCAAATACCGTATCAAAACCTAGAGACCAGTCTGGACAAGGATGTTCTGCTGCTGGACACAATGTTGAGGAGGAAAAGGTAGTCTTGCAACCACATGGTAGCACCACTCACCTTCAGGGAATTCCAACTCCAGAAATCTATGAATCACCAAAGGTCACTGCAAATCCTGTGAAGAAGAACGAAACTGCACAAATCCAACTCTTAGATATCAACTTCCCTCCAAGAATATTTAAAGCCCCACCAACCCAACCTTCAAAGGATCTTCTCCCAGGCTCAGGTGAGAATTGTGTGAATGAAGCTCCTTTACAAAGTTCATACAAAGTGGAAAGAGAAGAGGAAAACCAAATGAAATATAAAGAGGCTGCAGTGATGGAGGAAACTGGCTCAACTGGATCAGTGGGTGATGCACAGAGCGAGGTGCAGTCTAGCTGTTCACCAGTTGGGGTCTCAGGAGTGAGAGATGCAGAGAGTAGTGATGGAGAGACATTGTATTCAGCAGAAACTGCCGAAAGCAGAAATTATACTAGCCCTAGGGAAGGGAAGTTTCAGCCTGTTGGGAGGAGCCAAAGTTGTGTGAGCTACAATAGGTGGGGTCCTGTTCACAGGAATCCTGTGGCTCGAAGAACATCATCCTTGGAACAGCAGAGAAGTTTTATGCAGCCGAGAAAGACTTACTCACAAGGAGCTCCATCTCATAAGACAATGGACTATTTCAGTCCTACAGTCTCTTCTATCATGAAGAAGCGGAACAACGAGCAGCAACAGCAGCACCCTCCACCGCCGCCACAGCCAAGCAGGCCTCGGCCAACTGCAGTAAACTCTTCGCCTAGGTGGAATTTTTGATGTACCTACAGATTGTGAAATGTAGAAGATAAAAGGATATACGATAAAGGTATTACTCTTCTTTTGTGGTACATGAAAAGTGAAGCCGCTTGCAATTGTTCCATTTTCTTACTCTGTAAGTTGTAACTAATTTGTTGTCACCACCCTTGTAGACAGGCACCTCTTATATAATAAGAAAAATATTAGAAAGGAATGTTGTAGCTCCACTGTACACTATCAATTACTCATTCTTCATGTAATACATAATTACATATGCCTAAGATTGAATTGCAGCTATTAGCCATCGACAGCTTGACACCAATCAAAATGTTACATAAAGCATTGTATGTTTTATATGCAGCTCTCGTCACATCTTATCATCAACTAAGCTAGCTGACATGAGGATCGTGAAATATGGACACATGGTACAGTTTAGTACCTCATGTCCTCATCGGTCTCCCAACCTTGAGATTAGAAGATCCAATCCTCACCCGACCCCCTTCCTTAGGCACAATACCACATTGGCTATCTTAAGAGAGAGACGACAAACTAGCCGGCAAAATTTTTTCATACAGACATTAAATTAGCTGTTCTACAGACTTTATTTTGTTGCATCAAAATTTTTGATAACAGGACATATAAAGGTAGTAGCATGGTCCATGTATTGATGTATACCGTTGTTTAAACTGTCAACTACTCATGTTCAGATATCTGCTATGGTATCAACAATTCAACATGATTATAATTTTATGGCTCTACTATAGACACGAGCATATCTGCATATAAGCTGTACAACAGAAAGCTCAAAAATTCTTTATCCACTTGTTATGCATGTAAGGACACCAAACCTGGGTGGTCCCTTCATTTTTTTTTTTTTTTTTTTTTTTTTTTTTTGGCATATATAATGATACTAAACCTTAAGTTTTTTATGTGAAATAATTGGGAGGATTTGGATAACATGCACATGATCTCTTTGTGGGACATTGGGGGTACATGAGGTCTCGGCTTATTAAAAAAGATTGACGGTTTGTTTACAATAGGTTATAAATTCGAATTTCTCCCTCTTTGATGATTTGTAATGCCCTTGTAACTCATTTGGATAAAAAAAATAAAATAAAAATAATAAATAAATAAAAAAAATTATGAATAGTGTTGCTTTTGTTGGGAAGATAAGGAATAGCAAAAGGTGTGTATTTGGCAAAATTTTTGCTAAGAATTTTAGTTGCTGATTCTGAGGTTTGTTTGTTTGTTTTTTTTTTTTTTTTTTTTTTTTTTTTTTTTTTTAATGTCATAGATGAGAATAGTCATGTTATCATTTGCAAGTTTTGCCACCTTATTATGTTCTATGAATTAACCATAATCCAAACTAATGTGAACTTAGGTTAGAAAGCCTCAATTAATGGTCTATTAGCAATTGATCACACAAAAATTAATAGCAGATAGGAACTAGCAAGAATGTAGCTCGTGCAAGGTGGGACTGCATATCACTCAAAGTATCAATCATTTTGGAAAGACGTGTTAGCGTTTTAAAACAATTAAATGATGTGTTTTATTATGAATAGACTGCTCATATAGTTGAAATTATTCTTTTCGGGTTTTCCTTTCTATATTAAGTATCATTAAACATTAAAGTGTTTAGATTTTAAAAATGTATGACCATTTGTTTAACATCCTCATACGCAACTATTGTTTCTAGATGATTAATCAAGTAGATCTATGTTTAATTGTTGTGTTCCAAGCACAATTTCCTTCCTCCATACAACTACTTTGACACAACAAATTAAACTAGCGTTAGTCGAGACTTTCAAGTTCAAGTAATAATATTCTAGATGCAAGCAAAGAAAGAGGAAAGGGTCGAACACAAAGTTTGGCAAGACATATGAAAGCATTAGGTCAAGTAGAGTAGATATTAAGGGCTAGTAACTACTCACTGAATAACAACTAACAACCTTTGGCCTCAATTTATTAAAGGTGTTACTAATAAAATGAGAGGTAAGAAAAAACTAAAAAGCAACTCAATTTCTTAGATCAAATTAATCAAAGCAAAATAAGTTTCTTGTATGATTAAAATTTTTAAATACCCTAACTCTTTTCTCAATGTCCTTATAGCTTATTTAGACTTAATGATATATATTAGGAAATTGAAGATCTTCGTGAGACGGCCGCCCAAGTGAGAAGTATTTGTCTAAATTTAAAAAAGAAATTTATTGTTGTAATGAATTGAATCTAGGTACTCCGTAACTCTTACTTTTCATGATTGGACTTATTTGAACATATTAGTCAAGTTAACACGGTTAATTATTTGTTGTATATGAAAATTGATTTATAGATGTTGCATAAATCAACTTTTAATACTCATCAATGATTAAGCTTCAAGGTGTTTTTCTCACATCAAATTCCTCCTATGATGCTACAGAAAGAACTTGCTTTATGATATGCAACAAATTTTCTAGATTACTTCAAAAAAATTAACTTTTATCGGCACATAAGCAAAATTATCAAACTTGTTTTAAGCTACGAAGTTCCTACAAACTTTAAATTTAAGTGACACATAAGTAAAAAAAAAAATGTAATGAAAGATGACTTAATGGTTTAAAATTAAATATAAAAAATTATCTTTCGATATTATGAATTTTATCAAAATATTTGACAAATGAGATCGTAGAATTAAATAAATTTATTAATAATTAAAAAAAACATTTAGAGTCCAAAGAAAAACTATCTTTTTTATATAAGAGAATTTATACTGAAAAGAATTTATACTAAAAAGAAATGGAAAAAATAGTTAGAAATAAGATCAAAAGAGATATACAAGGTTAGATAAAAAAGAAGAAAGGATAATAATTATAAAAATAATCAAGTAAGCTAAGTGTGCATTAATATTTTTCTAATTCAAAAGAGGCATAGAAGTGTTAGAACCAATAGAAACAAGAACATATAAGTAACAAAAACAAACTAAGGAGGAATAAACCAAGGCATAGCAAACCTTGATCGTTCTACTAAGAGCTAACGGTATATAAACACATTTATTACAAAGTAGTTATTAAGAACCTACTCAAGAATTGAGATCGAATTAATTTTTAAAAATTTCTATTATCCCCTCAAATAAACTCTAACATAAGTACGTAATAATTTAATTATGAGTAATTTGTTTTAAAGGGTTGACTATGAGCAATTAAAATTGACACTTTTTTTTTAGAAAGTAAAACAGTGTTAAAATTGACAATTTGACATGGATTGTAAATTTGCAAAAAAAAAAAAAGAAGGGAAATTCTACATGGTGGTCTCATGAATTTAACTTTTCTACGTGTAAGACAAACTTTTTTCCAACTCTCTTCAGTGGCACCAAGGTTTAGAAAAATTGATCATAATGACATTTTTTAGGTTTATGGCTAACCTTTTCAGTTAAAATGGTTAACCTTTGATTTTTTTTTTATTAAAAAATGATTTAAATTATATTTTAAAATAATAAAATTAAAAAAAAAAAAATCCAGTCACCCCACTAACCCTAACCTTGTCGGAATCCGGCCAGCTACCAACTCCCGACCACCGAACCACCTCCCAGCCAACTCCCGACCACCGAAACCACCTCCCAGCCCAACCCCCGACCTCCAATTTCCGACCAGCCCACCTCCTTCCTCCTCCTCCATAATTTTCGACAGCCCATTCCTTCCTCCCTCCTTCCTTTCTCTTTCCATTCACTATCCATTAATTCCAATCCCCTCCACCCAGCCACCCACGACCGACCATGCACCCCTGCCAACCTCCCTTTATTGTCCTCAATTTCTCTCTCTTCTTTTTCAATTTCCGGTCGCCGCCTACCCTCTTTCGACACCGAAATCTCATCTCGCCCCCCTCGAATAATAGAACCCCTTTTTCTATTTCCAGGGTAGTCGGAAACTGGACAAGGGAGGGGGAGGGGCAGCAGCGGTCAGCAGTGGGGTAGGGGTGGGGGTGGTCGAAAACTGGAAAAGAGAGTAGGAGGGGCCGCAGAAGGGTGGGGGTGGTCGGGGAAGGTGGGTGGCTGGGTTCGAGATTGGGAGAAAGAGAGGAGATGGAGGTAGGGGATCGAAGGCCGGCGCACCGACGAAGGTGGAGCTGGGCGCTGACGTTGGTAGGGGTGGGGGAGAGGTGGCTGGTGGACGTCGGGGGGAGGGGTTGCTGGGGCTGGGAATTTTTGGGAATTTTTTTGTTTTTTTGTTTTACTTTTTTTAAATTTTATTATTTTAAAATATAATTTAAATAATTTTTTAATAAAAAAATCAAAGATTAACCATTTTAACTAAAAAGGTTAGTCATAAATCTAAAAAAGGCCACTATGGTCAATTTTTTTAAACCTTAGTGTCACTGAAGAGAGTTGGAAAAAGTTCGTCTTCTACATAAGAAAAGTTAAATTCATAGGGCCAGAATTTCCCAAAAAAAATTCCTGAAAAGAAAAAAAAGAAAAAAAAACCCCAAAAGAATTTACTGTTATTAATATCGATCACATGCGTAAATGTAAAAAAACCAAAAAGTTTGCTCCTAATTTTATGGGAAACAAGTAGACTTTTCTCACCTGCATCTTTTTTATTCCAATTTTTATTTATTTTTAATTCAGTTGCACAGTTGTAGTGACTCCATCGTCCCAATTGTAAAAGATAAATTTCAGAGCCAAAAAAACTAAAAATAAAAACCTTCTTCGGTTTTATCGAACTTAGTCTAAAACCCACGAAAAATATAGGCTCAAATTCAATTTGTTCACAAATAGAAACAGAGAAAAAATCACTGAAAATTTAAATCAGAGATCATAAATCACGATGTTGAATCCATCATGCAATGTAGTAAGTGATAAAATTCAATCTTTTACTCAATGCAGTTTCTGGGGTTCTCCCAAAATCCTCCCTAACTTGAATCGTCGCCGAAACGTTTCTTTTCCGTGCTCGAAACGCCCTGATCCGTCTGTTTCTGTTTCAACGACGACTAACAATGGGCTCACCCAAACTGAAAACGGGTCGGGTTCGATCGGGTTGGCGGACCGGCTCCGGTTGGGAAGTTTGACTGAAGATGGGTTGTCTTATAAGGAGAATTTTATTGTGAGGAGTTATGAAGTTGGGATTAATAAGACTGCTACTGTTGAAACCATTGCTAATCTTTTACAGGTATATCTCTTTTTAACTTGTTGGAAATTTTTGTTTTTGTTTGATTTATTTTTTTTTTGTTAAAGTTATGATTTTGAGTGGTGATTAGTGGATATTGCATTATGGGTTTGATTTAGTTTGGGGTTTTGAGTGGTAATTTGGTGAATTTTGTGAAATGGGTTTGATTAATTGGTGAATTTGGATTAATGGGTTTGAATGTATGATGTAGTTTTGGTTTATGAGTGTCAATTGGTGAGATTTTAATTATGGGTGAAGATTATGTTTGATTTTTGAGTGGTAAAGTAGTGAATTTGGATTAGTGGTTTTGATTAAATGTTGTTTTATCAGTGTTAAAATGGTGAAATTAAAGTAGTTAGTTTTATGAAATTTTGCATTATGAGCAGTAATTTGTTGAATTTTGATTAACATGTATGATTAAATTTGGTTTCTGAGTGTTAAATCAGCTAATATGGATTAATGGATTTGGTAAAATTTTTGGTTTACGAGTAGTAATCTGGTGAATTTGGAATCTTAGGTTTGATTAATTTTGGCTTTTGAGTGGTGAATATGGTAAAATAAGCTTTATAAATTTTGGTTTAGAGTAGTAATTTGGTGAATTGGAATCATGGGTTTGGTTAATTTTGGCTTTGAAATGGTGAGTTTGGAATAATGAAGCATAATTGATCTTGGTTGGTCCATGGATTATTGATCAAGTTTTTGAGTGGTAAAATGCTGAATTTTGGATTGCTGGATTTGATGAAGTTTTGGTTTATGAGCTGTAGTTGAGAAACTAGGTTAATGAGTTTGTCTAACTTTTGGCTTTTTACATGTTTATTGGTAAATCTGGATTATTTGGCTGTTAAAATTCGTTGTGGTAATTGCTGAATTTGGATTAACAAGTTTGAGCGATACGGAGTATGAATTTGTCAGTTATTAGATTAGTTCCCGTGTCATGCACGGTAATTTCCAATAACCATTATTAAACTACGATTATAATTAGTTTTTTTTTTATATAAACATTCTAAATATATACTCCCTCCGATTTTTTTTAATTGCAACTTTGGTGTGATTTGCGGTTCACGAGGCAAAAGTTAAAGGGCATGTGGTAGTGGGGTTAATTAAAGGTGATTAAAGTTTTTGGAGAGAGAATGTTTGACCCACCCCTTAGGAAAGTAGTGGAAAGTAAGGGTAATATAGTAATTTTGAAGGTTTTTGTTTACCCAAAATAGAAATAAAATAGAAAGTTGCATTTAATTTTGATCGGACTAAAATAGCAAAAGTTGCAATTGAAAAAAATCGGAGGGAGTAGTTGACAAATTTTGATTATTATAAAGGATTACAAAAGATATGTTAGATATAAAATGACGTAGAATAATTTTTTTTATAGCTATATAAATATTTGTGTTAAACGTATGCCAAATCTTTTTTTTATTTTAAGTAATTATATTGTATAAGATTAGGGAATTATTTTTGTATAAGATTTATTTCTTTAATTGAATTTTATTCAAAAAAAAAAAATAAGTAAGGACACACCAGAAGATGACACGTGTCATTGCTGGTGTGTCTTTTAGTATATTGTTATTGATTTGTTGTTTGGGTATCATTCAGGATTCATAGATGTTGGAATTCTCTCATATTTAAGATTAATATATCATATGGAACAACCTTCTTGGTTTATGATCTTGATGTAAGACAGTTTTATGCGTTCGATTTGAGCCTTGGGGACTTGAATTTGGCAGTTTATCCTTAGAGGAGATTTTTAAATAACAGTTTTGCTGGAATTTTGGTGACATCAGTTAAAATAAGCTTGATTAAAAAGTTTCTAATGTATGCTTGTCCAGTTGATTCTTGATAGTGATGTCATTTGCAAGGAAGTTTGACGTTTTACTTTTTGATCTTGTCAATGGTCATTTGAAGGAGTGGTCTTCTACATAAAACAATTGGGATCATGACTGTGATTGTGATTATGGTTCACAGAAGCATGAAACTTCTTATGACTGTTACACCAAGAGCTTAGACATTTTATTTTTCAAGGAACATATGACAAAGATCTTTGTTGATGATTACATGGAAATATTAAATTTGGTTCATGTAGCCGACCCCACTTATGGGATTAAGGCTTTGATTGATTGATTGATTGATATGACAAAGACTGTTGTTACCCGTAGTTCAAGAGATACTGAACTTGAATTATTGGAAATTTGTATTCTGTAAATGCCAAATTTTGAATTAAGACTCATTTGATCATGTCTTTGATTATTCTTTAATCTGTGTTATAGTCATCGTGTAACATTGTGCTGGTAATCCTTTATGCAACTTCCGTGAACTGATTCTTCCTTGTCATTTTCTGATATCTTCTACTATGCATAGATGCTTGATATTGGTATCACTTTGAAAAACAACTATTGTTTTAAAAGTGCTGTTAAGATATCTTTTCTCTTACAGGATATGCTTTATGAAAAAACACTGTATTCTGTTCCATTTTAATGTTAGAAGGGGTCTTTGTGATGTAGGAAGTGGGGTGCAACCATGCACAAAGTGTTGGATTCTCAACTGATGGATTTGCAACAACCCCTACCATGAGAAAGCTTCATCTCATATGGGTGACTGCACGCATGCACATTGAGATATACCGATATCCAGCTTGGTATGTTTACTTTTGCTATTGCTGTTGAGGTTTTCCAGGTCATGTTATTCATTGACATGTCTTATATGTGGTGCAGGAGTGATGTAGTTGAGATAGAGACGTGGTGCCAAGCTGAAGGAAAAATTGGGACGAGGCGTGATTTCATTCTGAAGGACTATGCAAATGGTGAAGTTATTGGAAGAGCTACTAGGTAATTTCCATTCATCAGGCCTATTTCTTCTCATTTCTCTCATGCCTTGTAGGTAATGTCTGTGTGATTGGTGTATAACTAAAATGTGTATTTGTACAGTGTACAGGTTGAAATTACATAAGGATTTCCCCTTACAAAAGACTGTTTGCTAGATGTATATTTCCTGTCTTTGCTGAAAAATTTATTTTAGACATTATGGAATTAGCCTTTCTTCTTCTATGTTGAATCAGATGACACTAAAGCACAATTTGATTCAGAATACCCATGGACATATTAGATTTATGTTCATTATTTACAATAGTGGATGGTGGGAACTGAGTAAGAATTTAATTTTTTAGATTTCCACTGGGCTAGGAATGTTGTCTGGTACCATATAAACCTATATATCTTTGGTGCATTTTAAAAAAGCCTTAATACTTGTATTGGTTTTTGTTGAAGATGGCTGCTAACCAGTTCTTTTTCTTATTGCAGTAAGTGGGTGATGATGAACATGGATACAAGAAGGTTGGAGAGAGTTACTCCTCAAATTGGCAAGGAATATTTAATATATTGCCCAAAAGAGCTTCGGTGAGCCCTTTAATATATCTGCCTGTACATTTTTAGAGTGTGATAAAAGACTGAGATTGCAATATATTCTGATGTATCTTAGTTGTGGTCTTCACTAGGGATGCTAATCGAGCGAGTCGATCACGAGCTAAGGGGTGCTCGACTCGTGATCGAAAACCATGGCTCGTGCTCGACTCATTACTCACTAAGCTCGTTAACATGTTGCTCGTCTCGTGATCGGTTAATTTAATCGTAGCTCGACTCGGCTCGTAACTCGTGTAGTTCAATTCTGCTCACAAAAAAAAAATAAAAATAAACGGATGAATAACTACAGATCTACAAGAAATAAGAGTTAAAAAACCAAAAACGCCCAAATTGTTCCTCTAGTTGGCTAGCTGCTCAAGTAGATTGAAAAAATTGACCAACTTTTTGAATGAATATGTTAGAACAACCACAGATCTACAAGAAAAGAGGGTAAAATCTAAAACGCACCTACCATTTTAAGATTGAAGCTTATTCCTTGTTTAAATAGCCTTTTAGTTTATCTTGATTCATGGTTCCTTCTTCAACTCATATCATAGAGCTTCTTACTTGAAATTTGAGAAGTAAAAAGAGAAAAAGAGCAGATTATTGGAACCCCAACAGTGGGTGGTGGCTGAAAGGCGTGACTGTGCGAGAGCTAGGGTTTTTTTTAGCAGTTGAAAGCTAAGTAAGTCAGTAAGTGTTTGAGTATAGTTTGTAAAATTGTAATGGGCCTATAGAATGTACTACTTCAGTACTTCGTATTAGTGGTAGTGGCTTTAGTGATTATTTTTTTTTATTAATAACTTTTCTAATAATATGCAACAATTAATTTTTTACATTTTCTATTTTGTTTACTATAATTTTTTATTTAATATTTTAATAATAAAATATTATCGAGCTGCTCGCGAGCTTATCGAGTCGAGTTATAGCTTGCTCGACTCGTGTTCGTTAAGGTTTCGAGTCGAGTCGAGACAACTTGAGTCGATTTTTGACCGAGTCGATCTCGAGTTGCTCCCGAGTTGCTCAACTCGATTAGTACCCCTAGTCTTCACCATGCTTCCCTTTTTGTTATCCTGCATTTGTAGTTTATTAGCTGGTTTACTGCTCATTATCACTTTTTTGAACCCTTTCATTATATGAATCTTGGTATGTAGGTACGAATTTAAGTGTCTAATATGCCTTCAGCCTTTCAATTATCACTTGTTTGATTTATTTCCAAGCGTTCAGAACAATCATGGTGATAATTCTTTGGCAATGAAACTCTGGCTGTTGACTAATGTGGGTTTTTATTAAAAACTAGATTTGGTTTAGATTAATCATTAATGAAAGACAATATACTCTAGATAAGTGCAAATGAAACAAGCACAAAGTTATGAAAGATGGATAAGTGCTCAATTGGATCATGTATATGCATGCCATGGTTGTGTATAAGATCTCGCTATATCTATGTGACAACCAGATAGTATACAATTTGACCTTGCAAATTTACATGGTCTTGCACTTCTTGTGCTCAATTCTATGCTTTGTGGTGGTTTCATCGTTTGAGTCTAAGGCTGAGAGGAATATATTCTTAGGGAATATGTGTAACAGTTCCAGTAGAGTGGACAGTAGCTGAGAGGAATGGGAATCCTCATTATTTATTGTCTTTTACATGTATACTTTAATACTTAGTTTTTGGGTGATGCAATCACCAATAAAGGCAAACTTCATTGTTGATTCGTAGTGGACAAATAAAACTTAGGACAGTAAACTTTGTATGCCTCAAAGTTCTGCTTGGCATCAGCCCCAATTGGAAATGAATTCCCATCATCTTTTTACAAGTTTCAGTGTCTCTCTACCTTGCATACACCTGATATCTTCAAAGGATAGCCTGTTATCTTTTCATACAATTTTATCTGCATGCATTGCCTTGCTTAGTGACATAGAAATTCCATATACACTTTTGATGGCATATGTTGCATTAGTTCTGGTGCTACAACCTTTGTGTACTCCTTTAGGCTAGCATAAACAGCAATGAGAGTTTAGGAGGATTTTTGCAACCATTCATTAGTTTTCCCCTTTCCAATAAATAAATACACAAACATCTTGAATGATCAGAATACATGGGTATATTTTATCTTGGCTGTGGACTATCCTAATCTTTTAACTTAATCTTCTTCCTTTTCATCATTAGATTTAGGTAGAGCAATTACAGCACAACGCACTTAAGCTTCTCTCAATTTTTTGAGCAATTCATTCTCTTCCTTTGCCTCAAAGATAAAGAAGGATTTCTTTAGCAAAGCTTAGACTTTTTTGAGTCTTCCTTGGGCTGCTATGTAATACTTTTCTCTCAAGTCTTTATTTTAGAGAGAATTTTTGTCACCATCCTTTTTCAAGAACCTTCTAGAGTTCCAACTAAAAATATGACTTAATTTATCATTTGATTGCCTATTTTTGCTTTCTTAAACCTTGTTCTGGATTTCTGGGCCATGGGATTCCAATACTATACATGTTATATACTGTCGTATGTAAGGCTTCTTATAGGTTCACATAGATTGCCTCATTAGTGTTTTACCCAGTTTAGTTCCTTTTCTTTCACCAGAAAACAAAATTCTATTCATCCAGAAACTGTTTTGCTTTTGGTCAATAGGGAGCCACAAAGAGCAATGATGTAGATGGAATTTGATCCCTAATCTTAGGAAGTCACCTCCCACCCCTCCCGACTTTACCAACTAAGCTAGCTAATGTGCACATCCCTTCACCCAGCAATTAAATCTTATACTTGGATTCCTCAGCTGACCCTCTGTATTTTTGTAATGTCCCTCTAGGTGGACTATGCAAGGTGGTTGTCTAGACTTTGAAAAATATAATGTGATGCCTCATTCTAATGATAGCTTTCTTTGTATCTTTAAATTATGATGAATTACCGAGCTTTCATTTTACCCTTAAAATTCTCTTATAGCTATTTATGTGATGACATCTGTAGATTAGCATTTCCTGAGCCAAACAACAATAGCTTGAAGAAAATATCAAAGCTGGAAGATCCTGCTCAATATTCAAAACAAGGGCTGGTGGTAAGATTGTTAAATCGTTGAGCATAAACACCTTACAAATGTGTCTTTATTTTTTGTGCTTGAATTTCTCTATTCTACCTAACATGAAACTTTTTGTGTGTCGAATATTATACAGCCCAGAAGAGGTGATCTGGACATGAACCACCATGTAAATAATGTCACCTACATTGGATGGACTCTGGAGGTGAGTTGAGACCCTTTCTATTGCTAGTTCCTTGCAGACTCTCGTTTTCCATCATAGGTGGCTTTCTGTTTACCAAAATGATATGTGTGAACTTTCATCCATTTGGAATAAGTTCATCTAGTTGTCACGCTGTTTTTAGCCATCATGAGTAAGACTAAACTTTATATTTAAGGAGTATTTTCTATGCTCTTCCCATCAGGTCAGCGGGTGTGTACTCGTGTACAAACAGTATGGTCTAATAATTTGCAATTAACATAATTTATCTTTTGGCAGAGTACTCCTGAAGAACTCGTGGACACTCATGAGTTGCGAAGCATCACCTTGGACTATAGGCGAGAGTGTCAGCGTAATGATGTTGTAGATTCTCTCACAAGTGTCGAACCAATAAAATTAAATGAATCCATCTTACAGAATGGAGCAAATGGATCTCCCACATCAACTAGAGACGAAAATGATAGTGTTCAGTTCTTGCATCTGTTGAGATTATCTGCTGATGGGTCCGAAATCAACCGAGGGCGCACTGAATGGAGAAGGAAGCCTGAGAGACAATGATCATTCTTTTTTTGTTTCTTTTCATGTTTATTTTCAGTATACCCTAGTTATTGAGGTTGATTTTGCATTTATATTATTTTGCGTTCTTTTTGCGCTTGATAAAATAATATTTTGATTTCATCGTAGAATCAGGAAGAACACTAGCCCTATGCCGGCCCAATTAAATTTGTATGTAGTATTTGGTGCAATTTATATTACTGCTTTCTTTATCATTTGGGAATTTGATTGTAAATCATGAGTTTCCTTTGCCAGCATAGTTGCGGATACTTAATACTCCATACTTCATAATTTTGCAGCTACGGTTTTTCTGATAAACCCTAAAGAAAAAAGCACCCACAACGAAGATTTTGATTAGCCTCGAACATTCTATCTTCACTGTGCTCCATATCAATGAACTGTGTATTGCATTGGCTCAGCTTAATGATCTAGGTTCACAATCAACCCAGAATAATGGTAAAATACTGCCAATAAATTGCTTTGATACAAATTACTTAAGGGTAGAGCAAACTTTTCCCAAGTTGGTGAAGAAGCTGAAATGCATCTAAATGAACAACTAACACATACTAAAACAGAATGCAATATATTGTCATTTTCTGTAAAGTGGAGATTATACTCACCTTGTGTAAAATTCAAGTAGTAATTCTACCAAATTTATAACCAAAATAAGAACCACCCCCATTTTTTACCATCTTGTCAGTACAGAGTATATTAAACAACAGTACTTCATATACCTCTATAAGGTTGAGGTTTTGATTTCGATTTTTGTCAAACGTGTACATGTACTAGTTCCTCTTTCGAAGTTTTCATCGCACAAAAGAGCAATATCTTAAGGAAGAGTGAGGGAACCATGACGAGAATGCATACAACATTGCTGGTTTCAGTCCTGGTCCTCGGGACAGTCCTTACTGTTTCCGTGTCTGGAAGAGTCGTGCCAGCGGACAAAGTCTATCAGCCTCAAGGACTTGGTTTGTTGGGGCACCCATTCCTTGGGGTCTTCCCCCTCGCCCCTCGGAAGGCCTGGGTTTCTCTTTGGTCCTTTTGGCAGATTTGGTTTCTTCCATGGTTTCCAAGGAAGCCTATACAAGGGTAATCTGAATGCTGAAGCAGTAGCAGCTGCACCATGATCTGAGCACTATGCTAGAAGTATATGTATGAACTATGAATAAAGTATTTTACCTGTTTGGTGAAGTTTGAAATGACACTGTTATTTTCATGCTCTAAACAAAAAAATCATCAACTATTATATGATTCCCGTTGTTTAAGCCTTTGAAACATACAAGGGTAAAGGGTTGCATCGTAACAAAACTTTATAATTTTATTTCATCTGTTAGCACACAATTTGCAGGTTTGTTCAAGGTTAGACATGAGAACAAAGAAGCATTGGAGAAGCAAACAAAATAAACAAATAAATTAAAAGAGCCTCCTTCAACCTCTTCCTTTGCACAGCATGTGGGGACTGTGTAAATAGGTCCGGCGAGACCCTAGCCTGAATCCGTGAATCACAACATCACCCCAAGTATGTGTCTCATATATAGATGGGGCAAAGACAGATCGTTAGAGTATTTTAACAGAGGACAAATTATCAAACCAAGAAAATAACTCTTCAATCTTTTTGGAAAAGCAAGGTTACCAAGTATTCATATCTTCTGCTGCTATACACTGCACTAGGAACAGACAATACAAATTAAATTAATACAAAGTGGCATGTTAAGCAGCTTGTCTACCAAATCCTATGGTAGATAGAACCGCTACCCTTCGCAACTATAGGAGAAATTATCAGTGTATTGTACTGAAATCTCAAGCCACAAGAATAACGACCCTTTAAAAAGGGGCAATGAGTCTTAACAACTTATCAGCTAAAAAAGCTGAAACAAATCTTCCTGTAATCAGAATACAATTGGCAAAATATGCAGAAAATAAGACAGATTATGAAATTTGCATAGTATATCAGGGTGTACCATGCTCACGGTACACCCTGTAGAAAATAAAGGCATTCTTCAAATTAATTTTTTTTTTTAAATGATTCCTCCTTAATTTAAGGGATTTGTTAGTTATTCTCCATATTAATTGTTTCAAAAATAGATTTGATATTTTTGGAGAGATATAATTACAATTTCGAAATACAGAGAGAATTTCCAGAGAGAGAAAATTTTTAGCAGAGAAAATTAATGGCAGGGTGTAAGACATTCGACATGATTCCATTACAAATTTGTTGATAATACGTATAAGAATGAAGATTTGGTTAATAATGAAGATGAATTTGAGGAATTCATAATCAAAAGTGAAGGTAATTTTTTTTTTTTTATATAGGTTTTTTCGTATTAAAATTTTATAATTATAATTACGATGTTGATGCTAATGATAATGTTCTCTTAAATTGTTAAATTTCATAATTTGTGGATTATTTTGTAATCAAAGGAAATTGGTTTTTTTTTTTTCAAAGGTTGAAGATGATGTTTTTTTGATTATGATGAATGTTCCTTTATCACGCGTTCAATTTGTTAATTGTAATGGAATATGTTCTTTAAGTCCGATTAATATGTTCTTTGAGTCTAAATTATATGTTCTCTACGTTACAAATTACGTTCTTTAAGGTATAATGTTCTTTGTGTTTCAATAATATGAACTATGTTATTTTTACTTGAATAATATGTTCTTCTATATTCATGTTCGTTTGTTTTAACTCTTATATTCTTTTGGGTTTTGAGTGATATAGCACATATTATTTTAAAATTAGTTTTTACATCATTTTTAATTATTAAATTATTCATCTTCAATATTATTTATTAAATTTATATTTTTTTATGTTAATAACATTATATTAGTGTGTACATTTTTGTTTTCAGGATCACGATGGTTGATGGAGATATTCTTTTTGGACATCATTTTTTGATGATTGATTTTCAGATCCAAAGAACATCTATAACATTTATAAAGAACATGATTATTTTATGTAATAAGCACCACTTAAATTAAAATATTTAAATTTAACAAGGATGGCCCAAACAAAAATTAAAGAACATTTTCACAATAAGTAATGGATATTATATGACAATAAATGTACATTACAATTACAGTTAGAGAACATGGACATTTAAAATATTTTATCAAAAGATCTAATAAAAATCATAATATTAATAGTGGACATATGGAAGAAATATAGTGCTAATAATTAATTGTACTTTACTTACAAAAATAAAGTACATCAAATTTTCTGATAAAAAACATTATAAAAATATACTCACAAGAATTACACATGACCATTATTATTATAACGAATATTATAATAATTACATAAAAAAAAAATTGTTAAAAGAATATGATTGATTTTGGTAGTTTTTTTTTATTTTTTTATTTTTTATTTTTTTGTTTCACATCCACATGTTCTCTTTCAAATGAATGTTCTTTGTTACAAAGCAACCATGTTCTTTCCACGTTTTTTTAATTTGTTCGTTGCATGCGTTTTATTTTTTGGACAACGCCCAGGTGTACCATGCTCATACTACATCCGGGTGTACAGATCAACGATTAGACAGAATATTGTTGCCAATATGGCTAAAAATGTTTTAACCAAAACCAATCCATCTAATAATTTATAACATTGAATGTTTTGACAAATCATATTGATAAGCTTGTCTAATCTATATTGCCGACAGTATCAATGATAGTATCTCTATCAAAGGCCAACAACAGCCACAACATTTGAATAATATGACCCAATGGGATGAGGTAACCTTGAAGCCCCGATGGCTAATACTAAAAGAAAGAAGAAAGAAATAAGAATGAGAAACCTAAATTAGGGCATCTGAAGTTCCACCAATACAACGGACATCACTTTACAAACTCCCGGATATTGGCATATGGGGATACTCCCCAACCTTATAGTCCTTTTTCTTATAAATTGGAGGCTTAATTAACAATTTGCTGAAGATCAATGACTTCTTTCTAACCTCCACCAGCATCGAAAGACATCAAGAATTTCCTTCTTTGACATGAATAGATAGGAATCTGTTGAAAAATAAGAAAGACCAAACATTCAGTGAGTTTTTTGTACAAATTTCCAGATATGGTGTAGCTTATTAACATAACAGGTATAAACAAAGGATTTGGTGTTCAGAATAAATGCCATTTACATCACAAATTACAATTGCAACAGTTTCCATACAAAAAGGTTTTCAATTTTCCGGGCAAGAGGAGGATCATTGAATAAAGGCAACAAAATCCAATAAAATATACAAGCAGCCCATGAGGAGGAGAGAAACAATGCTGAACTTGTATCAAATGAAGATATTCCAGCATGCTAAACAAACACCTCAGCAAAGACTGTTAAACTAAAAACAAATATCCAACGAAACAAGCCTAGGATGAGAGGACACCAAGCCACCACCTACCCCCAATAACATACAGTAAGGATGGAAGGTGGGTTGCGAGTAGAATCACATCAATAAAATTCGGTCATAAAAAAGAATAAAGCAATAAAATTACATTTCATGACAAGAAACACATCATTTAAGTAAAAGGAACATTAAAAATATATAGGTATGCTCACATAAGATCAATGTTGGAAAAATTAATTTCTACACTTCCAAAAACCATTTCCAAATTAGTAAAAGACTTTATAATCTGAAGTTTTCTGAAGCACATTTTATCTTCAATGTACCATAGCACTTAAAAAAACAAAGCTCTTCAATATCTTTGATGTCCCTGCCTCTCAATCCAATTTCTTGCAATACTTCACATAGTTTGGATTAAGCTAACCTATATTTATTTGTAAAATAAAAAACTGATACTAATATATAATTAAGAATCCCAAAGATAGGGTGAGCTTTTCAGTGAAGCAGAGTGCCGAAGAAACGTTCAGGTAGAGTTGCAAAGAATATATTATTCGCAAATTTATAATCTCCGAGAATAATTAATCAGACCTATTGAGCAATTCTAAGGTCTGAACCAACCAAATTAATCACATAATTTTAACTTGGTGTAACAATTGAGATAAGAGGAAGAGAGCGACAAGCTGACAACTGAGCACCACTGTTGCCAACTCATCTAGCTTCAAGTAAGACTAAAAATGAGTAGAAGCAGCAAGGAGGGTGCAGAAGGTTGATCATTTTGAGCTACACCTCAGCTTCAATTGATCATACAGCAACGAGGAAAAGGCAGAAGCTTCGCCTAAATGAGAAGGAGACCAGCTAGGGCTTCACAAAAACAAGACAGACTAGAGAGGAAGACTGCTATTTGCTTTTTGAGTTGGGCTACATATTTTTTTGGGGTTTGAGAAGGAGGAGGTGGCTTGAGGACTCATTTTTTTAAGTAAAGTAGGGCTCTCAGAATCATGCCTATGTTCAAGATCCCACCATCCCAGGGCTAATTCTTTCCAGTTTACGACTTTGCCTGTCATCCAGATCCTTAAGCTAAATCTGGTGGTCAATGAAATACGATCCAGAGCACAAATGAAAATAGAAAAAAGATTGGGATGTCACCTAAGAGAAGGTACAGGCCCCATAAATCAAAAGCATTAAACTCGGCCAGTGTCAACTTTAAGTGAGTTCATGAAGCCACAACATTACACCAGATAAAGCTGCAACCTATGTCCACAAATACGTAGAACAAGTTGTGCAGCTTCAAGGGCCTATTACAGATAAGACACATGATTAATGACACAAAAAGACAAGGCACAACCAAATCAATGATGTAGGACCTGAAAATATGAAATTGTGATGAATAGATCAGATGACTTTCATTTAACAGATATTCATTCAAGGTATGCACTGATAAAATGAACAGGTATCAGAGAGACTGGTTATGCTAATAATAGAAGCAGGAACAAACCTCAAATTTATCTAGTAGTAGGTAGGTAGATCCTGATTACATCTTTCATTGTCACCTTTCTCCTGCAGGTAGGACACTTCCCCTGAGTAGAAATTGATTTCTTAATGCATGCCCTGCAGAAAATGTGACCACACTTTGTTGTCACCTCTTCAACCAAAGGACTTATGCAAACAGGACAACTGAATGTGGGCTCAGGTGGAGGAGGAGGAGGTGGTGGTGGTGGTGGTGGTGCAACCATGCTTCTTGTTTGCGCTTGACAACTCTTACCATTTCCACACTAACATCAAGAAAGCAGAGAGTATCAAGCCAACAGCAATCATCTATTAAATAATTAATGCCTAAATCCTACAACTAAAACCTGTCCAAACATCACAGATTATCACTACAAATACAATTCCAAAACCTGAAATAACCATCCAAATATAAGGCAGCCAAAACCACTAATCAAATAGCAATGACATTATGAATGTGAGACGATGAAACACAACGATAAAACAAGTGAATCCACAACTGAAGACATCTTACATATTTCACCTTGACAATAAAGTATCATGACCTGCTAATTTACAAAAAACAGGGCAAGTATATACCAAAATGGAGAGAAACTACCTCGGATCCAAATCTAGGCTCTAGAGCATGGTAAAAGGCAAAAATAATTACCATATTTCACTTTATTGAAGCAGCTATGCTAGGGGTCACAACAGTAATTATTCAAACTGATTAGGAAAGTTTTTTTAAAAAACCATGAAAACTCAATTCAACTGTTGGGCTAATTTGGCCAACATTCCAAGCTAAGTTGAGCAATATATTAAACAAAAAATCAAATCAATCCATCATATTTTACACTCTTGCAAGAGAAACAAGCTATATTACACAACCCTAAATAGACAGAACCCAAACTTTCCCTACTGAACCAAGTAAAATTTGGTAGGTATACTAGCAGCTCAGAAAAAATATTACCAAATGTAAAAATTATAAAAAAGTACATACAAAACCTTTGCAATTGTGCCCATTAAAACTTAATTAAGGAAATAAAGAGATTACCCTCTCCCTTTGCAACCCTTGCACTTTATTAAGTTTTGTTACTTGATCAAACTATAACGAGAAACAAGAATAGCCGGCAAGAGTACAGGAAAACACATACTGAAGAGCAAATAGACTCGCAATATATGATAATTACCACGCCATTGCCGCGCCTTTCCGGAATAACATATGATTCACAATTGATGACAGGTGGGTTTGTTGAGCCTCTTTGTCGCTTGTTACGGTTATTAGCAGCAACTCTACTCGAAGATTCTATTCCAAAAACAAAACATACAGCAAAAGTAAGTCCATTGCAGTTTGGTAAAAGAGAGGAAGATTAAACTTATTGATAACACATGTATCAGATAAATCACATTTTGGACACGCAAAACAAATTCTATGAACTTTACCATGTACATTCATTTGAGCAAAAACAGAACCTGCAAACCATCTACTATATTAATAGTGCCCAACAAAGTGTGCCAGATTTTATTCAGAGACTAACAGATCCCAAAACCATCACCTTCACTTTTATAGTTCCACAAATTTTATTCAATATGATCCTACTGAAACCTGACTACCTCATGATTAGCCTCTATGGTACTATATACAGGTACAGTAGCGTGCATCATTAAAACCGATAAGTTGAAATATAAGCTTAGTTTAAAAGGCGCAAAGCGCAAAAGTCATTGGACCCTAGGCGCAAGGCAAAGGCACGTGCCTTGTAGGTGAAGCGCACTATTTATATATAAAGAAAAAAAAAAAAAAAATTGGATTAGACAAGTCTTCAGAAAAAAAATGAAAAAAGGTGAAAGGGGCAATGTGATTAATAGCTAGGGTTCTTCAAATAAAATTAGGGAATATTGTTTATCTCTCCCCTAATATTAAAGTAAAGCTGACCGTTGCAGAGTCACAACGTGCGCCTTTTCCTGCAGAACTAAGGTGCCAGCTCTCGCATCTGGCTGCACCTTGCGCCTAAGGTGCGCTATAAGAATTGTGCATGTGTACATCAATTGATTTAGTCAATGTACAGCATGTTTTAGTTAATAAACTTGTCAAAGGCATAATACCATATCCTTAAAGTAGCCAGCATTCTCCCATAAGTATAAAGAGTTTGCAGTGTATGTTATGCACCTCTTTTCTCCCCCATTCTCCTCACCTATCATTAAGAACTTTCAAAAAAGTCTGCACCACAAAATAATCACACCAGATATCCTTCATCTTTGATTGCACAAAATAAACAAAGTAACCCTCATTTTGAACATTAAATCCACAGTTCACCTACTTCAAATATCAAAGTCTCAAAGACTCTCAGCCGTTTAATAATCCTGGAAAGTCTTCCCCCCAACTCTAAACCAAAATTTTCACAGCAAAGTATTAGGCAACTCGATAAGGAGACATAACAACACCTAAGTTTGTGGAAGATGAGATTAGGTATATACTCTAATCAAAACTCAAAAGGAAGATAATTTGCACAACACATTTTTCAACAGCTTGACCAAGAGCAAAATGTATAATCTAATTACGAAACAAGCAAAACCTAAGGCTTGTTATCATTGCACCACACATTTTTCAACAACAGTACAACTCATCACACACTTAAAAGAAAGCAAGTCCAAGAGAAAGACAATACTTTAATCTAAACTCAAAATAAAGAAAAATCATGATCCACAGGAAAGTGAAAGAAAAGGGATTATTCCATAACCTAATACAACCCTTAACTAAAATGATGAAGAGAAATCCGTTACCCTGATCAATGTCAACAACATTACTTCTAGTTTGATTCCTCCTTGAATTATTTTTGGCCTGCCGTAAGAAAATTAGATTAAAACACAACCATTCAAACTCAATAGTTAAACATACAATAGTTAAACATGCCAATTTTGAAGGATACCCCAACTATAATTAAGCAACCAAAAGGAAAACAATCTACCTCCGCAAAGGCCCTTGGAGAGCATAAAACGACATCGTCATCAAACGAATCCACGTCAATTGGCACAACAACTTGCGGTGCAGACAACGGTTGCCCAGCTTGAACTTGCTGATCAACCGGCGGTGCATGGCTCGATGTGCCAACCTCACAAAAATTATCAGAAGGTGGCACATTGAGATCAACATTTAATACCATTTTACTACGTTGTGAGTTGCGGGCGGTACTCTTGGGAGGAATAACCCTCGAAACCCTTGCGCTCATGCTACAAACAATTTGAGTCACCTATAAAACGCTCCAGCCTAACAACCCTTAAGCATGTAAAACACTAATTAGATGTCAGATCAACTAAAACTACATACACTTAATTTGTTTTACCTCCTTTCACAAACATCAAAAACATATGAAACCCCTCAAATTACCCCAATTAGTTATAATTTTTTAGCATGCTTCCAAAATTAAGAACAGTAATTGCATGAATTTAAGCTTCAAATTCCACTTCACTTCTTACACCCCTCTTCCAAAATAATTATAAATATAAAAAAATATATATATAGTTTCATAAAAAAAGATGTAATCTTGTTTCAAAAACAAGCAATCAAGAGGCTCCCTAACCCTAAAAATTCAATCTTTATGTAACTTCCAACACACCCAAATACCCAATTAACAAAATTCAAATCAGAAACCCTAAAATCAACAATTCCAATTCAATTGACCAAATTGACACAATCAAACAACAAATTGACGATACCCGATCAAAATTCATCAATAATAACATTAACAAATTGAAGATTCTGGAGATAAAAACTACCTGATGATGATGAATTGATGATTCCGGCAGAAAACCCCAAAATGGGGGTAAAATTAAAAAAGACCCAAAATTGTGATTATTTGATAAATCGACTGTAAAAATGAGGAGAGAGAAGGTGGGTAGAGGCGTAGAGACGGTGGAGTGGTGAGTTATATAGGGCGGACCATTGAGGTGTGAACCAGAATAAAGAAGCAGAAGAGAGAAACACGGTTTTTTCTTTCTTTCTTTTGTTTTAGAAAATTGGAAATTTCAAATACTTCCTCCGTTAATATTTACAACATATACTACGTATTAAAAATGGGTGTTAACTATTATTTGCAATAAAGAATTTTCTTTTCTTTTTTGAGTAACTTTTTAAATGACAAAATTTTCGTCATGCCCTAGTTAAAAACTGTTTATATATTAACCTTCTTTGTTATTCTAATTAAATATCCCTAAGCTATTATCCACAAATCTAACATAATGATTCCCACCAAAATTAGCCTCACCTAGATACCCTTTTCCAACCATTCATCAGATCCCTCTTCATCTTCTCACCGACCCTCTTCAATTCATCCCTCAACTACCTCCATTAATGAGGTTGTTAAATCCTTTACCTCTGGAGATCGTTCCAGATTTCAACATTCTCTCTCTTCTCTTCTTTCGATCTAGTTTACCTCATTCAATTCATCCCTCAACTACCTCCATTAATGAGGCTGTTCAGTCATTTACCTCTGAAAATCGTTCCAGATTTCAACACTCTCTCTCTTCTCTTCTTTCGATCTGGTTTAACTCACTCCCTCTCTTCTCCTCTTTCGATTTGGTTTACTTCACTCTCTCTCATCGTTGAAACCCTAATTTCTCTAGATTTTACACCTTATCTGGCTGCGCACCTACTTTCTTCTTTGAAAACCCCAAAAAAATGAGTTCCCCAAACGAGAAGAAACCAGATGAGGACATAATTACGACCTACAAATGCCAGCGTCGTACTGGGAAGATGAGGTTGATTGGAACCCATAGGGAAACTTACCTGGATATGCGTCGTATGTATGGTGTGGGTGCGAAGCTTGCTCCTTACGACTCTGATGAGGAAGATGAGGGGTTTAAGGTTGCAGATCTGGGCAACAACGGTGAGGGTTCGAAGAAGGGTCATGCTGTTGATGTTGTGAAGAGTGAGGATGCTGAACCCCCTTCTGTAGCCCATACGCCGGAAAAGACTGTAGAGGAGGCGGTAGATCTGGGTAGATCTAGGTCTACTGGAGTTGTCTCCGGCAAGAAGAGGGGTAGATATGGGTCCCCTGTTGACGAGGTTGTTGATGGTGATGGGGATGACAACCCTTCCAACTGTGGCTCTAACTAATTTCGCAACGGAACTCTTTTCTGACCCTTAAACTTTGGATTCATTGCGTTCAATTACTCTAAGTCCCTGATTTGCTTGCTGGTTGTGATAATTAGCCTCTGTTTGCTATGTTGTCCCTGATTTGCTTGCTGGTTGTGATAATTAGCTTATGATTACTAAATTGTGGGTTGTTGATAAATGCGGGCATTGTTGTTAAATTCTGGCATTTTTGGGTAATTTTTGGCTATATTAGCCTCTGTTATTATGATAAATTTGGGTAATTTTGCGAATTTGTTGGCTATTTGTGATAATTTCTGTTAGATCTTGATAAATTCTGATTGTTGGCTATTTGTTTGCTTGTGTTTGGGAATTAGGTTGCTATATTAGCCTCTGTTTGCTATGTTATGTTGTGCCTTGTTATTAGTAATTGTTGCATGATGTTGGTAATTTGTGGCTTCTGATTGTTGGCCATTTGCTTGCTTGTGTTTGGGAATTAGGTTGCTTGAGGTTGTTCATATGTGGGTCCTACTTCTTTTGTGGGTTGTGCTTGTTCCTTTGTAGCTTGAGGTTGTTCATAATTGGCACTAATGGCTTTGGGGTTTGTGATATGATGAATGATGATGAACTTGTAGCCTATTGTGAATGGTGTTAGATGTTCTCAGTGAAAACTAATTCAGAGAACATATGTGCATGCATTTCAGTCCTCTACTGTTGGAGTCCCTTCTGTTTTGTTCAGTCCCCTACTGTTGGAGTCCCTTCTAATTAAGGGAACATTGTTGCCTACATGTGTGTTCCTACCTGATGTAGGAGTCCCTTCATGTAGTGTCTGTGTGTGGGAAAAATCCAAGTGGTGAAGGGACTCATTTGACAAAAAAAAAATTCACAAGTTGGAATTGCTCCGACAACTTCAACTGTAAGTTGTTGTTGAGGGAACCACTTATGCAACACCCTCTGATGGATTTAAACTAGTGTGTGTCTGTGTATCACAGTCAAAAACTTAATGTAATCACTTCTTGTACATAAAGCAACCACAATTGATATCATTAAGTTTTTCAAAAGGTTGTACATGTTCAAAAGAAGCTAGTTAAGACTGCCTTACAATATTAACTCTGAATGTAAACAAAATACACCTAACCAATGAAACTCAAACATTTGTCAAACTAAAAACACAAAAGACTACCTATTACGTTTCCATTTGCTTCCTTGCTCTTCATTGGTTATGTGTGGCAGTCTCACTATCACCTTGCTCTTGTGTCTGAGATGGGTTCAGTCTGCATCAACTTGAATACCTTTATCACCTTCATTGCCTTCACCTGTTGATTGATATGAATAAAGTGTTGAGATAATCAACAGCTTGTTGAACCACATTCCTGTCCACTTGTAGTTGTTCTGGCGGCAAGCAAAGTCTTTACAGCCTTTTCTTCCCTTTGTGTGGTGGGGTAAAATTATTCCCCCCTAGATGCTTGAGTATTTCTTCCATGCAACATTGTAGTGTTATCTAACAGTGCTTGTTCAACACTAGATTAAACAAGTAATAATCCCCTTTGACCTTGTCTATGAGTTCCCCCAAGTCCTTAGGGAATGACTGGTACTGTATGGACTGTATGACATTGAACAATCCAAGATCTAGCACATTTAAGTCTGGTGACTGTGCTGGCTGGTAAATGAGCTGTATTTTGAACCTATCTGACTGACATGCATCAATGAATTCCTCATCCTTAGGAATTTGATGAGGTCTGGCATTATCCCACTAAATCCATATGTCCTTAGACAGATGGGGTGGCCATTAAATTTTTATGGTTGGAATGACATTGTTGAGAGGCATTGCCCTGATTGCCTCCTTGTTTACATTCTGTGTTGCCTTAATTTCCACAGTTCTAGCCTCTTTGTTTTTGCTTTTTTTCTTTGCAGTGCTCTCATTAACAAATGGAAATATTCCATACTTTCCATCATGTAGCGCTAGTCCATGGGTGTCAAAAATTGGCTTGCAAATGATTGCCATGAACATGCATTTTACCTTGAATCTTTTGGACTGTTGGCACCTGTATGGATTTGGTTCATTTGGCTGGAGATAGAACCTTTTTGTTTTTGGGTTCAAGTAGAACCATTTTTCATCTATGTGTATGACTTGCTGCATATCCTCAAACTTAGGGTTAGCATTCACTACAGCAGGCAGCAGATGACTTAAAACCCATTTTAGTCTTGCTATCTTGTGGTTGGATGTCAGGGCTGGGTGATTTGTGCTTGTATGTGTTCTCAGCCTCTCTTTTTTCTTTAACTTGTGAATGGTGACATGTGAGATTTTGAGAGCAGCTCCATAGCTTCTCTCAGTTGTCCTTTTGTACAAAAGGGCTGATTGCAGAAACTCATCTGTGTATTATGTTGGTTTGGGTCCAGGTTGCCAAGCTTCTTGCTTCTGAAATCTATCACATTTCGCACTACCATTTGGGATATTATGTCTTTGAATAACCTCTGAATTGTTCACCTGTGTACGTTGAACTTGACTGGTTTCTGTGTTAAAAACCCTCTTGGCAATTCCCCACCTTCCAGTTCAATAGAATAACATCAACAATTTCTCTTTTTTAGGAAACAGTAAGTTATTTCTTGCCTTTGGGATGCTGCATTGTTTCTTCATGTAACACATTGTCTTCAATGTTATGAGTTCCTTCAATGGTGCTTGAATCACTGTCTTCCATATTGCCTTCATCATTTAGCATTTGATCAATGCTGAAAAATCATCATCGAAAATGTCTGCCATGTTTGATAATCTAATTAATGATGTTGAGTTCCATATATTTGAGGACTGATAATGAAGTGGGGTGGCTGTTTTTTTTGTTGTACTAAAGCTGAACCAGAAAAACCTAACGAGATGAAGATGCTGCTTCTGACGTAACACTAATTAGGTTTAGGATGATAGCTTAGTTCTGACTTTTGTGAAGAAACAATGGTGTAATATGGATATGGAACTTTTGGTTTGTATGTGAACTTTGAATGTTGTTTTCTTGCAGGTTGCTTAAATATCCTCCCTTGAATGAAAAATTCAAGTGGAGGGAAAAAATTGGTGTGAACTTTGGCTTCTGTTTTCTGGCAGGCTATTTAAATACCCTCCCTTGAATGAAAAGTTCAAGTGGAGGGAAAAAATTGGTGTGAACTTTGGCTTCTGTTTTCTGGCAGACTATTTAAATACCCTCCCTTGAATGAAAAATTCAAGTGGAGGGAAAAAATTGGTGTGAAAACTGAAATTTTTAAAAAGAGAGTGAAATGTTAGGAGGGAAAATTTTTTTTCCCAAAATTTCAGATTCTCTCTCCTCTTTAAATGAAAACAGGGTCCCCCTTTCGCTCCTTTTTAATCAATTAATCACATGCCCTTGTTTCCAATTACTCTCACTTAAACACCCATTAAAAGTTTTGCATTGGCTCCGTGAAAGGTACAATTGTTGCAAATAACCATTAACGGAGGAAGTAAAACTTATTGCACGACATGTGTAATTTCCAAAATGGGTAATGTCAACAATGGGCTTCTATGAGAGTTGGATACATCTTATCATGTGATGGACTGTATTTTGAGTGTCTCTTTTTCTTTGAAGTTGAACGGTAAAATCATGCCATGTTAACCCGATGAGAGGTCTTTGATATGGAGATTCAATTTTTCCATACTTAAATCTTTTGTGAGTTGATGCCTTTTCAACTTTGTTATCAAAGTTGATTTCGGAGAAGAAAATAAGTGGGGTGAAAATTTATCATGCTGTTGTTTTCTCATTTGTTTTTTTTTTTTTTTTAGATTATAGTATTCTATTTACTAAAGTTACTCTACATGATTGTTCAGCAATTGCTAATATAGAGCATCTTGTCAGAAAGTTTAATCTGGAAACGCTTTTAGTGAATGAGCAACTGTTGACAAGAGAAATGTAATTATTGATGCTTTAAGGATAAGAGAAGTTAAGAGACAAGAAAAAAAAAATCTGGGCGTGCCTACCATCACCGGAAAGTTGAAAAAAGTCATTGTTGCGTGTTTGAATGAATAGAATTTGGAAGATATTGAATGGTTGGAATGGATGCCTTCTATCTAGGCCAGGTAAAGAAGTCTTGATTGAAGCAATGGCATAAGCAATTCCTACTTATATGATGAACGTTTTTAAAATTTCAGATAACCTTATTAATGAGATCCACACTCTTTAATATTGATTTTGGTGGGGTTCGAGGGAGGATGATAGGAAGTTTCATTGGCAAAAATGGGAGAAACGACTCTTCTATCTTACAAAAGCTAATGGTGGAATGAGTTTTAAAGATCTCAAGTGCTTCAATCAAGCTTTCCAGGCTAAACAATTATGGTGCTTGCTTACTAATGAGTCATCATTGCTTTATAAAATTCTCAAAGCAAGGTACTTTAAAAATTCAAATGTTATTAAGTCATATAGGAGATATGACCTAAGCTATGCGTGAAGGAGCATTTGGGGTGCAAAGTCTTTGCTACAAGACGGGTTGACTTGGAGGATGGGTGATGGTCTAAATATCAAGGATTCAAGGTACAAGAAGCCCCTTAGCTAGTAAAAAAAAATGTGCACATTATCCTTCCAAACAGACCTGCTATGTGTGACAAAAATATGACAATCCATTAGTTAATGAATGAGGGATACATTTAGTGAGATGGAGAGATTATTGTTACCATATTTTCTCCATGACTTAAAGCTACGGTTCTTGCTTGTCTATTGTCGTTAAATAGGTGTAAATTAAGATGATCTTTTTTGAAGGTTAGTGAAAAATGAAATCTTTATAGTAAGATCGACATATTGGTTACCAAAGGGGGAGGGGATGTTAACATTGATAGTGGGATAAAGCACAAAGACTTGGTGATCGGTGTGGTGGGTTCGGGAACCTCCAAAACTACACCACTTTTTACGCAGTGATGTAAAAGGAAATTTGGCAATCAAGGATAGATTAGCTTTGCGTAATATATCTAGAGATTCATCTTGCCATGTTTGTGGAACAGCGCTAGAGATGATCTTGCATTCTTTATTAGAGTGTGAGGCAGCAAAGGCAATTTAGGAATACAGTGAGTTCAAAGAAAATCTTGTTGGGGCTTCGAGTACCTCGCTCGCTAAGCTGTGGATTTGGTTGAATTGGAAATGTAGCACTGAGATGATTAGCTCAATGGTTGCGTTTTGGTGGGCATCTTTTGGAGATGTAGACATTTGATACTCTTTGAGAATAAAAGGCTAAACGTTGTTATGATTGCTATGAGTTTCTACAGATTTGTCTATGATTATAATTCACACGCAATAAAAAGGTGCATAGACCTATGCCACTCTCGTTTACTTTAGGTGGAGGTACCTAACTCAGGGGTGCATTAAAGTGTAACACCCTAGAAATTTCTTCCCTTTAAAATACCTGCTTTGCTCTTTTTAAAATAGAAAATTATAAGACATTACTGCCCATCGTGATAATGGCTAAGACAATTATCAAAGACACGCAGCAGAAGACTCGTTTCAAAAGCCATTTAAAATAAAACCAACTTCATAAGTCAAACCAAACGAAAGCGAATTATGTAAAATATTATTTTAGAGACGAATTATATAAACTAAAATCCGTCTCTAAACTAGAAACGGATTTGAAAATCAATTTCTAAACTAGAGACGAATTTTAAATTCCGTCTCTAATATTTCTTTCACTTATTATGAATTATGTACGTAGAAGTAAACAAATAATATTTGGTATAATCGGTAAGAGTTTCAATATGTGACTTTGAGGTAAATCCGTTGCTAAAACCAGCGACCGAAATAAAAATCCGTTGCTAAGTTCAACAACGGAAAACAAATACAACGTCGCTAGACAATAGTTTTGCCAATGGAGTAATTCCGTTTCAAAATCTGTCGCTACCTATATTTAGCAACAGAAAAGATAGCAGCGGATTTGATCTATTGCTAAATGTCTATTTTTTTCGTAGTGACCTATCTGTAAGACAGTAAAAATATCAGTTTCTGACTTCTACAAATTTACTTATCAGTAAGTGTACATCTGAAAGCTGAAAGGAATGAACTTTTTGAAGAAAAATGGTTGATAGCAGCAACCACCAGGAGGTCCGGAATAGAAGAAAAATATTGATCCCATAATTCATTACCTCAAGAACAACTATAGCGGGGAATATATATCAAGTAAAAAACTCGAGGAAGCCCATTTACATGCTGCAAGAAGATCCTGGGAGAAGTGGTGCACATATCAAGTGCCTCGTCGCCTAAGACTGTATCTATAGGACCATACCATATTGTTACTTTATAATCTGTGCCGGATCCTACTCATCCTAGGACGCACAGGTCAGGAGGTAAACCTTTACTTTGATATGATCAAACATTAATTTGTGAAGAATTTGTACTTTGCATGTAAATCTGTGGGAGTCAAACTCGAGACTCATGCTAGATATTCAAGTGACTTGACCAATTGCTGCAACTCCCCTCTCTAATGGTAAAGATACATAGATAAAAGGCTGACCTTTTCCTCTTAATTGGAGTGATAAGTTGGCTGGTGAAATAGATAGATGTTGCTGAGTGTCATTGTTGAGGGTCATCACCGCACTCTTGATGCTGCTTTCTTATAGAATGTAGTACATTTTTTTATGAAATGATGCCAAAGCTAAAACAACGGAGAGGAATATATTTCATTATAAAATTCAGAAATTCTTAATGAAACAGCCATCAAAGTTGGCTTTAGTGGAAAGCATGTAGAGAATGAAGTTTTACACATTTACTGCTCTAGAATAGAGATGATACTAACCTGTATGAGTTTGGTTTTATCATGGAAAGGAGTTTCAGATCCAACAGTGGAAGCTGGGACGCTTTTGGATGCATTTCCAAACTGACCAACATCCTGGTGGTTGCTATCCGTTGGCTTGACTTTTAATCTTTTACCTCCTCCATAGGTGTCATCATTATCAGCTCTACCTAGAGTCAATCCTCTTGCAACAATTGAATCCTCATCCAATAGAGGAATTCTTCCCCAATTTACGAAGGATCGCTCCTCTTTAGCCCTTGTGAAAGCACCTGTAAAACCCTCAACTTGCTGGGGATCAGTATTCCAGACACCCCATGCAGGAATTGCTGTCCCTTTATCTGGCTGTAAAGGTTTTAACAAGTTATTGGTAATGCAGATTTTGTTCATAATTTTACAATAAAGAAGCCAAAGATCAATTGATGATGGAAACTGATTATGAAAAATTGTTTCTTGATAAAATTAAAGAGCACTTACAGTTTGATTACCCCGCTCAGCTGGAGGTCGTTGCTGAAGCCTGCCTCTTTTCTGATGAATAGATGAAGACAGAGTTTCAGAAGTAGCCATAGAAGAATTGGACCCTCTACTTGCATTACTCAGCTGATGACGACCATCTGCCTTAAATTTAGTTCCAACAGTTGTAGAAGGCCTAGCTCTATTGTTGACATCTCGGTTGAGCTGGGGCTTAATGGGGTCTGGTACAGGTACTGCAGTCTTATTTTTCCGAGCCTCTTTCCAATCACCAAAATGAGGCAATTTAGAACGGCCCTCTTTAGCTGGAGGTTCACTTACACCGGGAGGTGCATCAGAAGAAGGTTCTGGTGTGACAGTATGCCCGATCTTATTGTTCTTCCTAACATTTTCAAAGCTCTGGGTAAAACCAGCCTCATCTTCACCCTCCCAAGAACCAAACGGTGGCACCATTTGTGCTTCTCGTTTTGGTTCTGATTTAGATGGTGCAGGATCAGCCTGAGTTGAAGGATCCATACGAGTTTGCATGTGTCGGTTCAATTGAGGTACATCAGAAGGTTCTGGTGTGACAGTAAGCTCACTCTTAGTACCCTTTCTAACACTGTCCAAGCATTTGGTAAAACCAACTTCCCCAACACCTCCCCTAGCACCAAATTGTGGCACCTTTGATCGTGCGTCTTGTTGTAATTCTGGCATATATAGCTAGTGGAGGCTGAGGAGGAGCCTGAGTTGGAGCTAGTATGTCTCGGTTCTTCTCTTATATTGCATTGTCAAAGTACACTCTAATTTTTTCCACCTCCCCTTGAACCAAAATTTGATACTTTAGACTGCAGAGTATATTGAGAACAATGGATACTGTGATATCAGCCCTTCTTTCTTATTCATTAATCAGAGTAAAAGCTTGTTTGAATGTCCAGATTTTTCATACACATACACAACGCAAATACTGAACTACATCAGAATGCCAGGGAAAAATTATAATTCATAAAAGAATTCTATTAGCGTGCAATGACGTATCAGCAAAAAATATTCCCAGCCCCATGAGTTATGCATTGTTGGAAGTTAAAGTGAAAAATGACAAAATATTAGCAAGTTTCTTGTTTAAATATAGCACACAATTAACCAAAAAAACTGTATTCAAACTTATGTGTTGTAAAACATCATCTTTAATATATAAAGTGCAAAACATTTATCTATACCAAATAAAGTACCTATCTCACTATCCATATTCCTCATAGAAGTAGCAAATAGTTTAAATTTGAACCTGCATTTTGTAGACAGATAAATTTGTACTTTCTTATTTAATACTTGGAGAGGAAAAATGAAGAACTTTTTACATCAACTTTGTTTTCTCTTATTGGTTAAAAAAACCTTCAGTATTAGAAAAAAATAACAGCACTTACTAGAACCAAATTTGACTGGGATTTTGTATTTCCGTAATTGACTGATGAAAGTGTTTCATCCACTGATCCACCTCCAGAAGCAAATTTGACTGGGATTTTGTATTCCCTTCAGGACAGGAGTCACAGGACTTTCAAGACATAAAGATACTGTAGATTCTCAACTGTAACCCATTGTCCTATCCGGGCTGACGGTTAGGCTTACAGGATCAATTTGCAGTGCTGCAGGCTTAGCTCAACTTAATGATCCTTCATCAATTTAACTTTGAAGAAAAGAAATCTCCTGGTGCCTTCCCCTTCAAGGCTTCAAGAGTCGTGTATGTTACAGATATTATATCTTAATAGATAGCAAAACTATTACAAAATTAATTAAAGAATCATGCTGACCTCAAGTGTGAGACTTGGTTAAGTGCAATCAGCCCTACGCGGAATGCAACGTGCAGGCTATTTTAGAGCTAAACAATGAAAGGTCAGACGAGTATACTGCTACTGTAGGTTGATCCTATCTTATTTCAAAAGTCATTTTCCCATCAAGAAAAAATCACTCCGGAGTATTTTTTTACATTCTTTGCATTTGTTTTTTGATCCTCGCTAAAGGTTGACAGCAGCAACCACCAGAAAATCTGGAACAGAAGAAAAATGGATCCTCACAATTCACTACCTCAAGAACAACTTGAGTGGGTGATATCCATACGGGGAAAACTCAAGGAAGCACGACAATATGCTGCAAGAAAACCATGGGAGAAGTGGTGCATATATCGAGTCCCTTGTCGCCTAAGAGAAGTTCAAGAGAGCAGGAAAACCTATGAGCCCCAGACCATATCCATAGGGCCATTCCATACCGGTAGTGAACAAGTTCTGGATATGGATCGCCACAAGTGGATTGCTCTGAACCAAATCTTAGAGCGCACAGGTCAGGACCTAAACCTTTACCTTGATACCATCAAAGAAGTTGAAGAACAAGCGCGAGCTTATTATCAGCAACAATTTGTGCATCTAAGCAGCAATAAGTTTGTAGAGATGATGGTCCTTGATGGTTGCTTCATCCTAGAGCTCTTCAGATGTTATCCGGGTTCAGGTACAAAGGGCAATCCCGTTTTCTGTAACCAGAGAATAATTGATGACATTCTGTTAGACATGGTATTGCTAGAAAACCAAATTCCACTTTTCATACTTGACAGGCTACTTAGGCTAATGCACACAGCTGGTAATCCTGAAGCGTTCCAAAAAGAGCAGGCTATGACTTTAGCTCTGAACTTCTTCAACCCTGAATGGCTGACAGGTAATGTTATATTTTCTGGTTGAATTGATCTTCAGAACATAGAGAAAGCCGTATTTTTTTAATTAGCAAAAATAACGTTTATACAGTATATGGACAAGCTCAATGCATCTTAACAAGAAAAATCAGTATTTAGAGTGATCATAATGTATCAACAACTCCTAAATTTTTTTTTTTTTTTTTTGTAATTTCAAAAAAAAAGTAAAGGAACTGATATTCTAATAATTCAAAGATAGTCTGTGATTCATCTTACAGAACTACTTGTATAGAAGCTATGAGCAACTTCTTTACTAAAAGGCTCAGGAAACATCATTAACAAAGCGCAATACTGATTGCGCATCTCACCATTAACTACCTGCTACAACTTTTACTTAATATCCACCTTGACAGGTAAACCTATGTCCATACAAGAATTCAATGAGCTGAAACTCTCTCTCGAGCAGGAAGAGTGCGTTCATGTCCTTGATGTTTTCAGGCAAAGTCTACTACGTGCAAGGCCTCAACAGGGCACCAATTTCAGACATCAATTTCAACGGAGGGTATGTGATAAGCTTCTCCCTGGGTGGTTGAAGCGGTGGCTATATCGCCTACACGCCAATAGAGTCCCAAATAGAATTCCAAGGCGTGGACAAGTCATACATAGGGTCACAGAGCTCAGAGAGGGAGGAGTAAAATTCAGGAAGCAAAACACCAACTGTTTCTGGGATATCAGGTTCAAGAACGGGGTTCTTGAAATCCCTTCAATTTGGATACAAGATAGTACAATGACCATTCTTCTGAATGTTACAGCCTTTGAGCACTGTCATATGAAGATGAGTGATGCTGTGATTGCGTCATATGTGGTGTTCATGGAATGCTTGATAAAATCCCAGAAGATGTGGGCCACCTTCACCATTGTGGAATCATTCAACATCTTCTTGGACATGATTCTGAAGTTGTTGACATGTTCAAAAGCATATCTAAAGAAATGTTAGTGGATGCACATGGTGGTAATTACTACGCAAAACTATCCGAACAAGTGAATGCTTACTACAACCAGAGAAGAAATAGATGGCGAGCAAGCCTGATTCATAATTATTTTTATAATCCTTGGGCTATCATCTCACTGGTTGCTGCTGTTATTCTATTGATTCTTACCGCGATACAGAGCTTCTATGCAGTTTATGCTTACTACAGGCCGAATTATTAAAAAAAATAATTTTGCCTTGCTAGTTTCTGCACTGCTAAATCCCTTTCTTATCCAACAGTTCATCTTGTTCCAACCGATGAACACACAAGTTAGCTGACAGTGCAAAAGTATCAACTTTGAAGACATAGAAGGAGTGGTATTTGTGTCATAAAAACTTGGTTTGGTGACACACAGAATTACAGTGCTCATACTGCTCAACTATGATTGTATGAATAGATTGCCTTCTCATAATATAAAAACATATCAGTTTCCAACTTCTGCAAATTACTCATCATAACAAAAAGAACTAGCACCTTGTGCTGGGAAACAAGGTATCATCAAGCGCCAAGTACTAGAAGCTTTCCGTCTCATCTCCATGAAGGGTTCAGAAGCTATTTACGAAAGTATGAGCCTCAATCTGCAAATAAGCTCAATGCATTATTTGCCAATTTTCTGCAAAAGGATGCGAACTATAAATTTATCTGAATCATATCTTATATATGGAGTTTAACGAAAAGCTTAAATTTTACTAACTCCATAAAGTATAAAATCCAAGATATAACTACAAGCCAAATGGCCATATTTATAAAGATAATACGAGTACTACAAAACAAATGGCCATATTTATACGAGGGGGATGTATTTATCAAGACTCAGGACATACCTTTCCTTTTGGTTGGAGTGATAAGTTGGCAGGTGATATGTAGTGTCATTTTTGAGGGTCAGCTCTGCATTCTGGATGCCGGAAGTGATCTGCTGGTCTCTTGGAATGGACGATGTTTCTTTCTTAAAGAAAGAAGTGCCTTTTTGATGGAATGTATGCCAAAACTGAAGCAACGGAGAAGAAAATGTCACAAAATCCAGCTCATAAAATCAGAAAATCTGTTTCTTAATGAAAGAGGCACTCAGTGATGGCTTCAGTCAAGAACACATACGAAATCAGGTTTTACACATTTACAAGGATAGAGATGGAGATGTTACTGACCTGTTGGAGTTAGTTTTTCTTCCGGAGAGGAGTATTAGATCCATCCTTGGAAGCTGGGAAGTCCCTAGATGTATTTCTAGAGTTACCAACAATCCAACATCATTTTCATTGCCACCCCTTGGCTCACCTTTAAATCTTCTACTGCCCCCATAAACCAGCTGATCATTGGCCCTAGGTAGACGATGAACTCTTTCAGCAATCCAATCCTCATCAAGTATAGGAAACCTTGCATTATTGATGGGTTCCCTGAATTCCTCATCACTACAGGCAAATCTGCGCCCCCCAGAACGGCAGCGACGACGAGCAATATAATGTCGCATGGAATGACCAACCTTATCAGAAGGTATGCAGTCATCTGAGTTCAACTGAAACGCATCAGAAGGTTTTGAGGTGACCATGTGCTTATTCTTGTTGTTCTTCCAAACATAGCCAAAACACCGTTTGTAACCAGCTTCACCTTCACGCTCTCGAACACCAAGCTGTGGCACTTTTGACTGTGATTTAGCTGATGCAGGACGTACCAAAACTGAAGGATTGTCATGAAGACGCATATCTCCATTCATCAGGAATTCATTATTGGATTCCTGTTTATTTTCAAATAAGCAGTGTATATGAGCGTGAAATGACGTATCAGTAACTAGGGACACTTTGAGGTTGGGATTCCCCGACTTTCAAAGTGTCTAGCCCATTAATCTGGGCTGAATTGACCGGAAACACTAAGAGAGTTATCGATTACTTGTAGTTGTAAACAGCAAAATATTATAATGGGTCCATATATTGTCATGTTTTTATTCATAATCCATTCACTTACATTATCACTATCTATGCCAAATAGATTAATAGAAGTAGCAACAAGTTCAAAACTGGACCTGCATATGTAACTCAAGTAGACAGATAGATTTCAAGGTTCTGCTAACGCTTTGAGAGGTAACTTGAAGTAATTTTTAACATCAACTTAGCTTGCAATATTTCATGCTCATCGTTTAAAAATTTTTGGGAAACATTCACTAAAATGGTAAAAACAGTTTTCATTACTTTATAAAAAAGAAAAAAAAAATTAAAAATTGCAGCACTTTCCTCCTGCCTTACTTGATTGACTGATGAAAATTTAAATGTTTCATTTGCTGGAGGTTCACTTACCTCGCGATTCAATTGAGGGGCATCAGAATAAGGTTCTGGTATGAAAGTACGCCCTTTGTTATAGTTG